CTGCTGTCCGGCCCGGCCCCTCCCCTGCACCCCGCCCCCCTCCTCTCCCTCCTTGGCTGGCTCTCCATGTCACCATCTGTGGCACAATCCTTCTCTGTCAGTCTCCCTGCCACCCCCTCGTTCTCTTTCCTCCTTCCCTGCTCTCCATCCTGCCTCTCCGCATCGCTCCCTCTCGCTTCCCTCTCTCCTCCTCCTTTCTTCTCCCTGTCACGCATCTCTCATCCACCCCCTCATCCTGGCTTTCCACCCACTCGCGCTCTCTCTCCACCTCCGACCGACCCCCCTTCTCCCTCTGTTCTTATTGGCTTCTTATAGTCCCCTGCCCCTCTTTTCTCCAGCTCCTGAGGCTTCTCCCTCCACCCCCATCCCACCCCTGCCCACGGACCCCCATCTGGGCCCCTGCCCCCCAGGTCGTGTCCTGGAGATGGGGGGTGACGTGCCGGGAGCCAGTGGGAAGTCAGGGCCGGAGACCAGATGGGAGAGGCTCTGTGGGCAGACGCGGCCGCTGCGGGCCTAGGAGGAACCAACCGAGCCCGCCAGTCGTCTGGAAGTGGGTGCCATGCGGGACCCCAGCAAGGGGTGCTCTGGGGGCACCTGGGACTGGGCAGGCAGAGGGGCCAGCAGCATGATAAGCAGCCTGGTGGCACGGAGGGGAGCCCGCGCCCATGGCAGGTAAGGAGGCTGGGCCTGGGCGGGGTCCTGGTGGGTGGGGTACCGGCAGCCATCCTCAGCCCAAGACAAATGGTGCCAGAGGCTCTTTGAGGACAGGAGTCCCAGGGAGGGAGGAGGGAGGCCTTCCCATGACTTCTCTGTGGGCTGCAGGGGCAGGGGTATTAGCCTGGGATCCTGGATCACAGAGCAGCCCCATGCCAGAGTGGGAAGAGACCAGATGCACCATGCATTGGCATCGCCAAGTCACATGGCATCTTCCTGCACCCCCTCCATGCTGGGACTGCTCAGCACACTCCCATTTATCCTCATCACAGCCTTGGGAGGCGGGGACAGAAAACGAGGTCCAGAGAGGTGAAGTGACTTGTCCAAAGCCACACAGCAATTTGCATCATCACTGTGTGCCAGCCCGAGCCCCAGCAGGGCTGTGGGTGTGATCCGAGGGGTCAGACGGAGGCCCAGGCTGGGAGAGGAAGCAGGCGACAGAAGGGAAGGCTCGGGGTGCAGGGACCTGTGGGATTTGGAGACGGCCAGGGCCCAGCAGCCAGCGTGGCCCAGAGCTGTTGGAACCCATGACCCCTCTTTGCCCAAAGCCTTTGGAGAAGCTGGTGTGGCCAGGAGGTACCTAAGTTCAGCAGTAGACAGAGCCAGGTTCGAATTCGGGCTTCTCACTTGGCAGCTGGGTGACCTCATACGAGTTACTGAACCCCTCCAAGCCTCAGCTTCCTCTGCTCTAAGAGCCCTTCCTCCTGGGCTTCACGAAGACCTTGTGACGTGGGTTTGAGGCCTCCACCCAGAGACAAGCCCTGCCTTGGGTCTCTGGCTGCTGACCTGCTGGTTTGGCTCACACCTGCAGATAGATGGTCTGGGAGATGTGCTGGGGACTGGGGTTAAAGAGAGAAGCCACAAGGCCCTGCACCCGGGAGCCAGCGTCCTAGAAGGGCAGGGGTAGGAGACAACTGGGGGGTCTGGTGTCCCTGGAGGGCCATCCTTAACTGCTGTGGGGTTCAGGGAAGCCACTCACCCTCTCTGTGGTTCCGTCCCCTCCCCAACAGTCCTCCGAGGAGTCCGCCCCCAGCTTCCAGGCAAACTTGTGCCAAAGATAAACCACGCAGAGAGGAGCAGTCGCTCCTTCCCGGCATGAGCCAGATCACGTGCAGGATTCCAGCTCCTTAAGGAAAGCCGGCAACTCATTGCAGGTCTGGCGCACGCTGTGCAGAGCTGTGCTTTCTCGGCTCCTGATGGCCCAGCCTGGTAAACTTTGACGGAGAGGATGGGCCCAGACGAGGCCCAGGCAGGGTCTTGGAGGGGGACCAGGGGCTCGGGGAGCGGCCATTTCATCCCCTGGTGCAAAGGAGGGTCTGGCTGGTGTTGCCGTGTTCCTGCCGGGCCGTGAGCACATATGCTGGTGTGTGCCAGGCGGGAGGGGAGCGGCTCAGAGCTTACCCGCGGGCTTCTCTGGGGACATCTGTCCCTGAAGCCTGCAAATGAGGCTTGCCCAGCCCCAGGCTCCCCTGGGAACCTGGCTCAGCTCCCCTCCCCGCTCCAGCCCTGGATGCTATTGGCTGACCGGTGGGCGCTGTAAAGAGGCCCTCCCGACCCACCGGACAGCACAGGGCAGCAGAGCAGGGGGCAGGTGAGGCCCCCACCCTGCCCCAGTCGAGGCAAGGCTCTAAGGTCTCAAATTCGACGCTTCATGATTCTGGATCTAAGAAACACTGACTCCAGCATTCTGAAATTCTGGCCTTCTCTGACTCAAGGACACTGGGTGGAAAACCCTGTGACTCTAAGGTTCTGCGAGTCTGTCCTGAGAACATTAAGTTCTCTTTCTGGGCCTCTGAAGTCTAAGGCTTTGGGTCCACAGCTCTGAAAGTTTAAGAAGCCGAGGAGCAGAGGAGGCTGGGGGAGAGCGGACAGCGGGACACTGGGACACTTGCCTCAGACCTGGCTCAGCCTGCGGGGCTGGGCGCGGGTGCAGGTGGGTGCTTCTAGGTCCTCCTAGAGCTGGCCCTTCCTAGCTGTGTGGGTAGGCACATGGCCTCGCCTTTGTCCCCACCTGTACGGGGACAGTAGTGCTCCCCTCGTTGGGCAGCAAGTGGCTCTGCATGCCACCAGCTCAGCCTGGCGCTGGGGGCTCAGTGACCAGGAGCTGGCAGCACCCCTGGTTCCTGACCAAGTCCCCCTGCTCAGAGCTGCTGTCCCAGGCTCAGGACAGCTGGTGAGGGCATGGGGCGAGCCCTGGGGTAAGGACAGGGTGCAGGGCTCCTGGGGTTCCGAGTTCTGTCATCTCTCCCAGCCCAGGAGCCCAGGCGACTTGGACCTTCAGAGGAACCTTGGCCTGGGGGTTTTGCCTGCGGCTTGGCTCTGGGAGCCTCTAGAGCTGGCCCAGGTCTTTGGGGCAGGAGCCACCAGGCGTGCTCACCTGTCCAGAGGCACCTGTTAGGAGTCTGTGCTGTAAAAGTGGTGTCCAGGTAGGGCCGTGGGGGCCTCAGGTCCTCCTGGAAAGCCCAGGCTCGGGTTGGGACATCCAGGAGAAGGGCTTCTCCTTTGAGAGGTTTCCTTCCCTCAGCGTTTTCTGCAGGGACAATCAGCGGGCAGCCAGGAGCCCATGGGTGGGGTAGTGGGGGTCACTGGAAGAAGGGGTGCAGTGGGAGGTCCAGGCCCAGAGGAGGCTGCTGCTGTCAGCCTTGGCCTCTAACTGGGCCTCCTGAGAGCCAGGAAGTCCTGCGGAGGGAGGTGGGCCATCCTGAGGTGTGCCCCCCAGCGGCCATCGGTGATTCGTTCTGCTCTGCTGAGCTGTCCACTCCTTGGAGGGGGTGCCTCAAAGCTGATGCAGAGTTGGTGCTCCTGTGAAAGTGGCGGGGGTGGGGGACTGACACCCCATCTTGGGTCTTATCCTGTCTGTGTGCTCTGTGTCCCTATCGCTTGCCTTACTAATAAGGAGTCATAAATTCTGTAGAGACATGTAAATATAGGTATATATCATACATTAATCAGACCATAGAGAAAACGCAGAGACTTCATTAAAAAGAAAAACACAGACTTCCTCTTGGGGCCCTTACCCTGTCTACCTGTAAGTGGGGTCCAAGTCCAATCACCGCAGCCAGTGGGAGGTGGCCCATCTTCCACCGTAAGCTTGTGACTTCAACTCCACCCAGCCTCTGAGAAGTCTGATGGATGTGCTAGGCTCTGCCCCATGAGGTTACAGACACATGAGCCTTCACCTGGAATTCTGGGGGCTCCTGGACCCCCTGAGGTTCACAAGAGGACCAGGTTCCAGGCTAAGGGCCTGCTGGTGGACAGTGCACCCCACTTCACGGAGCACCGCCAGCTAGGCCATCCCACGGAGAAAGGGCGAGTATTAGTTCATGGAACAAGACGGTCATGGCCGTCTGGGAGGGAGGGTGGCGGGCACTTCACCTCCTGTGACTCAATTTCCTCTGAGAACTGGGAATGACATCACCTGACCTTGCTCTGACCTGGCGTTCAGTAGGTCTCCGCAGTCGGTGCGGTGGGGGAGGGGCGGCACGGCAACGCGGCCCTCTGCCATGACCGGGCTGTGTCCTCCCTCCTGCAGGCCCACAGCTGACTGCTGACCACCGTCCCCCAGCCATGGACACCCCTGGCTACCCTGCACCGGTGCCCACCACCTTGGAAGCCGCGAACACCTCCTCCCCCTGGCCCGTGGATGCCACGCCGGGAAATGTGTCCGAGGGCCCGAGCCAGGCTGGGCTGGCCGTCAGCGGCATCCTGATCCCCCTGGTCTACCTGGTGGTGTGCGTGGTCGGCCTGCTGGGCAACTCGCTGGTCATCTACGTGGTCCTGCGGCACACCGCCAGCCCATCGGTCACCAACGTCTACATCCTCAACCTGGCGCTGGCCGACGAGCTCTTCATGCTGGGGCTGCCCTTCCTGGCCGCCCAGAACGCCCTGTCCTACTGGCCCTTCGGCTCCCTCATGTGCCGCCTGGTCATGGCCGTGGACGGCATCAACCAGTTCACCAGCATCTTCTGCCTCACCGTCATGAGCGTGGACCGCTACCTGGCCGTGGTGCACCCCACCCGCTCGGCGCGCTGGCGCACGGCGTCCGTGGCCCGCACGGTCAGCGCGGCTGTCTGGGTGGCCTCCGCTGTGGTGGTGCTGCCCGTGGTGGTCTTCTCGGGCGTGCCGAGGGGCATGAGCCACATGCAGTGGCGGGAGCCCGCGGCGGCCTGGCGTGCCGGCTTCATCATCTACACGGCGGCGCTGGGCTTCTTCGGGCCGCTGCTGGTCATCTGCCTGTGCTACCTGCTCATCCTGGTGAAGGTGCGCTCGGCAGGCCGGCGGGGGTGGGCGCCCTCGTGCCAGCGGAGGCGGCGCTCGGAGCGCAGGGTCACGCGCATGGTGGTGGCCGTGGTGGCGCTCTTCGTCCTCTGCTGGATGCCATTCCACGTGCTCAACATCGTCAACGTGGTGTGCCCGCTGCCTGAGGAGCCCGCCTTCTTCGGCCTCTACTTCCTGGTGGTGGCGCTGCCCTACGCCAACAGCTGCGCCAACCCCATCCTCTATGGCTTCCTCTCCTACCGCTTCAAGCAGGGCTTCCGCAGAGTCCTGCTACGGCCCTCCCGCCGCGTGCGCAGCCAGGAGCCTGCTGCGGGGCCTCCGGAGAAGACCGAGGAGGAGGACGAGGAGGAGGAAGGAGACGGGGAGGAGGGGGAGAGCGGGAAGGGCAAGGGCAAGGAGGTGAATGGCCGGCTCAGCCAGATCACACAGCCTGGCCCCAGCGGGCAGGAGCGGCCGTCCAGCGCGGCTGCCAGCAAGGAGCAGCAGTCGTTACCCCAAGAGCCCTCGGCTGGGGGGAAGTCCAGCTCACTGCACATCAGCTACCTGTAGGGCCTGGGGGGGGCCTGACGGCTCAGGGAGGGCTGGAGGCTGCAGGCGTGCCTCTGCGCCCTGCCCGGGGAGCCAGATGCCCCGTAGAGGATGTTCGGGGGCATGCCGCGGGTCCCATTGCCGCTAGGACTTGCTGCGTGACCTTCAGTAGGTCCTTTCCCCTCTCTGGGCTTCATTTTCTCCTCTGTGACTCAGGGATGGGAGCAATCAGCCCAGACAAGCGCTGTCAGGGGAGTGGGCCATAGAGCCTCACTGTTGGGCTGACCTTCCTGAGCAGAGCCAGGTTAGGGCTGAGTGGGTCCGACCACCCTCAGAGATGGAGCATCTGGACAGCAGCCTGAATCTTGGTCCAGAGGGATGAGCCAGGGCCTGGGTCTCCTGAGCCCAGAGGCAGGGACATGGGAGACCTAGGGCTGAACTGAAGCCTCCATTGGAGGAAGGTCTGACCTGGTAGGGAATAGGGGTGCTCAGGCCCCAGACCAGCTCTCCCTGGCCTGGTGAGGCCAGAGCCAGTTCTGCTCTGCTCTGGGCCTCAGGCCTGGATAACCGCACAACCTCTAGTCTGTCCCCTTTGGGCCAGATGGTCATTGCTGGAGCTCTGTGTTCCCAAACAAGGGGAGGAAAGGTGGCTTTCTGGAAGCTTTAGGAGCTCTACTGCATGGCCCTCTGTGGCCCTAAGTCCAATTTTTAACTCCTTTCCTTAAAGAAAGGCCCCAAATCGCACAAGTTTAAGGCACCCAAATCCTAGCTCAGTCCCTGTGAAGGTTGGCCCTCGGCCCCCAGGCTGCTCGCATTGGGTGCTGTGGGTGGAGGGGGGTCCTTTTTGAGGGCTCTGGGAACTTCTTCATAGGAGAGGCCAGCCCTGTTCTCTCACTCGTATCCTCTCTTCCTGGGGACCAAGGCAGGGACCCCCTCCCCACCCCATGCAGACTGAGTGGAAAGGAGTGTGTCCAAACAGCGCTGTGAGCAGGAGGGAGAAGAGGAGGTGAGAAGAGAAGGCAGAGGAAGGGAATGGGAAGGGGGGAGGAGGAGGAGGGCGAGGACAGAGGTTTCCTTACCACTCTGGGCTGAGCTCCGTTGCAGCATCTATGAAATGTGGTGAGCGAAGCCCAGCCCAGCCAAACAGAAGGGAAGGAAGTGACCAGGATGGAAAAGCAAACGTTCTGAAAGTGACAAGCTGGCCCCTGTGAGGGCCATGGCACTGAAAGAAGGACTTGGGCCTTGCTAGCGGCCCTGGGGCGGGGGCCGTGGAGCTGGCTCTCTGGGGACATTGAGGAGTGGTGAGCCCCTGGGGGCGGGGAGCAGGCCTCTCCAGCCCCTATATCCTTGGGGGCTACAGGTCAAGGAAGCCCTGAGAAGATACACCCAGAGGAGGCCGGAGCAGAACTGCTGAGAGCACCTATCGTCCAAGACCGGGCCTGGGCACCCTCCCAGAGATGCCCTTAAAGCCCTGGTGAGCCTGACCCTGGGGTAGTGCCTCTGGCTGAACCCCTCCACTCCACCCTGCAGAGGGCAGGAGTCCTCAGGGAAAGCACAGAACCAGAATCTGGAGACTTTTGATCTTCAGCCCACCTCAGGACCCTGGGCTAGCCCTGACCTCAGTTTCCCCACCCTGCAATGGAGCGGACTAGCCCAGTTCACCAGCCTCCTGCCTCCTGGGATTTGGGGAAAGTCATGCTGGATTAATTGCCAGGCTCACCGCAGAGGGTGGGGGTATCAGATTACAAAGTGGAGGTGCTTTCCCCACCCCCAAGCTTGGCCTTGACCCCCTTTTCCTGCCTGGCTCTTGGGAGTAAGGACACTGCAGGGCATGAGAAAGGGAGAGGTGGAAAGTCAGAGGCCAAAGGTCAGGGAAGCAGGACTTGGGGAGAATATGGGGCATTTAGAAGGAAAGAAAGTTCACAAAACCAGACCTCTTGTGGAGGCTGGAGGCCAGAGCCCAGAGGCCCAGCCAGAGGTTCAGCCCTTGGACTTGATCTGGAGTTCCCTTGAGGTGGAGTTGAGGGTCTGAGGGAGAAGGGCCTGCTGGCATTTCATTCTCCCCTGGCTGTCCCTGCCTTCCTGAATCCTGGGGTAACTGAGCAATGTCTCGCAAGGGTAGCTGGGAGGCTGGTCAGGAAATGCTTCGCTGCTTCTGCTCCTAGCTCTTGGTAATAAAGACGGTGACACATGACAACAGCCGAGGCCTGGGCCATCTCTTCTGGATGCTGTTGTCCAGATGGGTGTGAATGTGTGGCTCGGTGCACCCTGGCCTCTTCCCCAGTGCCCCTCACCACTTCTATTATCCAAATAGCAAATCTCATGGAAGAAAGCTGATTGGCTCCAACTGGGTCACATGATGGTCCTTCGGACCAATCACCAAAGACAAGGTGATAGGGTGCCATGGTTGGCCAGGTGTGGGTCACGTGCCTACCCTTGCAGCCAAAGAGAAGGGGGAGCACTGTGATGGACAGTGTGGCCTAGCCAGTAGGGTAGAAAGTGTGTCAGTGACTGACTGCCTATGGCAAGGGGAGGCTGGCCAGGGTGAATGGCGCTCTGGATATGTGCAGGGTTCCCTAGATAGCTGCTTTTGCTGGGTATAACCCTGTATGAGTCTGCAGGTTTGTGTGAACACCGTGCAGAGCATGTAGCAGGTGCTCAGGACATCTCAGTTACATTGAACATGTATGGGGGTGTTACGCATGGCGGTGAGAGCAGAGGAGCTGCTGGGACCCGGGAGTGGCCACCAAGACCAGGGTCCCTTTTCAGGTTCCCCAACCCTGTTTCCCTGCCACACCAGGTGTCACTGCCTGTGTGTACTTGTGTGCATGTGTGTGGGGGATGTTCTCGTACTACACGTGCATGCCCAACAGCCGTGGGCCTTTTCTGTGACCATCTGGAACAATGAGAGAATGGACAGGGTCGCCATGCCTCCCAACCACAGGGGGATTGTTCATGTGACTTTAGCCTCCTTTGGAATTGTGCAACGTGGTGGCCCTGAATAAATGAGGGGGAACCGAAGGAGCTTGGCATTGGGGTTTGGGGAACCTCAGGGGCTGCAGGGTGGGGGTTGAGGGCTCTGTGGTTGTGAACCAGAGCAGGGAAGGAGGGGTAGTGATAATATGTCTGGTTTGACTCCTCTGTAGTCATCTATGTTGTTCAGACCTTGGGCCTTACCTTGAACTTGTCTCTCCCATGTGGTTGCTAGGCAACAGCCTATGGCCTCCAGGCTCTGGACCAGGACTTCAGCGCAGCATCGCCATCCTGGGGTGGGGGGTGGGGCGTGCTGGGAATCCACAGGGCCTGGGGCAGAGGAGGCGAGGCCCCCGATTTCCACCTGTAAGGGGTGGGGGAATTGGATGTCACTGTCCCATAGAAGGGGTGACAGCCTGGGCTCCACAGGGCTCCAGATACGGAAGACCTTGTAAAAGGATCAAGAACCCCATGTGAGGGGCACCCCCTGGAGTTGAGCAAGGCCACGGTTCCTCCAAGACCTCAGGGTTCCCCTCGTCATGGCCGCCCTGATGAGAGTCTGAGTGCATCTGCAGGAAGGCCTTAGGGGGAACGTGTCCCCCAAAAGCCTTGGGATCCAGGGATCCAGCCAGAAGGCCTGGCCCTAGGCCCCACTCTGAACAACCCTACTGCGTGGCCTCAGGCCATTTATGTCTCCCCTCTGGACGCAGCGCATGTGGTTCACAAAGGGTTATCTGAGCACCAGCTGCATGTGAGGCCCTGGCGCGGGGCTGGGGGAGGTTCTCGCACTCTCCACCCTCTCCAGCGGCCATGCAAGTCGATGTCCACCAGCCTTCGGGCGCAGTGGAAGGGAGACACAAACTGGGGGGCCAGGGCCCAGTGGGGGCCATGCTGAGGGCAGACGCTCAGGCCTCGGAGTGCCAGGCAGAGGGATCTGCATGTGCTAGACTGTGAGTAAAGGGGAGAAGAGCGGAGGTGAGGCCCATCCCAGGGGACAGACGCTGTGTCAGACAGGGCCTCCCTGGGAGTTCATTCCCGTTATGGCTGAACTTTGCCCCCCAGATTCACATGCTGAAGCCCTAATTCCCAGTACCCCACGATGTGACTCTCTTGGAAATAGGTTGTTGCAGGTGTGAGTATTTGAGGTGAGTCACAGCTGAGTCGGGTGGGCCTCCATTCCAGTGATTGTTGTCCTTAGGAAAAAGGAGAGATTTGGGGCCCAGGCAGTGGAGCAGCGAGGCTGACTCGCATGGCGAGGTTGCTGATTTGTGCCTGGAGACGTCCCCGAGTGCTCTGGGCACACGTGTGCCCCTGATCCCAGCTGGCTGACGCTGGGGTCCAGTGTGGCTTCTAGACTCTGTCGGGGTGCTCTCTGTCTCTCTCACTTATAGAAAAGAAAAAAAATACTTGAACAAAAAAGAAAGAGGAGATCTGCACACACATACACATACAAGGAGCGTGCCACGTGAACACGGAGGTGAAGACCGGGGTGACGCGTCCACAAGGTGAGGAATGCTGGCTCAGCTGCAAACCACTGGGCCAGGAGAGGCCGGAGCAGATCCTGCCCACACCCTGGGGAGGAAGAGGCCTGCAGGCGTCCTGGCCCATTTCTGTGGTGTAGGCCGCCCTGGGGTGGTACTTGCTAAGGCAGTTCCTCACCTGCAAAGCACAGCTAACAGCTCCTCTCCTGGGTCTCCCGGACCTGCTGGGCTAGCCTGCTCAGTAAGTGCGCTCTGCAGAAAAGCTGAGGGCAGAGCAGTGGGACCACAGAGCTCGAGGAGCCCAGAGGAACAGATAAGGCAAGGAAGGAGGGAGCTCGAAAGCACGTGAACCGCGGGTCTGCCAGTGTGAATCCTGGCACGTCTGTTCACGAGATGTTTGACTCTGGGCTGGTTATTAACCTCCCTGTGCCCCAGAGCCCTCCGCTCTGAGATGGAGATGAGAGCAGATGTCCCTCTGACTAGGAGGCTGGAATGAGCTAATGTTAGTGGATAGCTTAAAACAGTGCCGGGTGTGCAGTAGGGACTTAGTGTCAAGCGGTCAGGAGC